GCTGAATTTAATGTAACGGAGGATTAATGTGAATGAATAGCTTTGGATTAATAAAACGGAGCTCTACCTTTAATATAAAGGGAGAATTTAAGGGCTGAGTTTAATGTAACGGAGGATGAATATGAATGAATAGCTTTGGATTAATAAAACGGAGCTCTACCTTTAATATAAAGGGAGAATTTATGGGCTGAATTTAATGTAACGGAGGATTAATATGAATGAATAGCTTTGGATTAATATAACGGAGCTCTACCTTTAATATAATGGAAGAATCTAATAAAATGACTGAATTTAATGTAACGGAGCTTGGATCACTCTTCCCAAATAAACTAATAAATAAAGGAGTTATTATGTATATACATATGTACATGTATATTTTATAATACAATTTTTTTTTTATGAGAAACTGTTTTTTATTTTTAATGTGCATTTAATGCTATGTCTCATTTCACACCTATAAATAGAGACATTGGATGAAGGAAAAAAACCGCAAGTGAGGAGAAGAAGAAAATCATCTTGCGCTGCGGAGAATAGTTGCGGCGGAGCGAAGAGTTGCGGAGAAGCAAAGAGTTGCGGAGGAGCGAATAGTTGCGAATTGCGACAAGGCAGAGAGTTGCGGCTAAGCAAAAAGTTGCGGTGGAGCGAAGTGTTGCGGTGCAGAGTTGCGGTGAAGAGGTGCGGCGAAGAGGTGCGGCGAACTGTTGTTGTGAAGTGTCGCGATGAAACATTACTGAAATAGCGACAGCTGGAGAATGTCGTTTTTCTGAGATCCAGAGAAAAAGTCAGAAATCGGATGATGCAGTGGTAACTGTATCGGAGAGCGAATTGAGCTTTTTTCGAAAGAAACATTTCTTTCCGAATGATATGGTAGTGAAGTTACCGACTTCAACTGATCAAGCATATTCTCCACCTTTTGGGTATGTTACTATTTATGAGGCCGCCTTGAAAGTTGGCCTACGATTTCCTCCGACACCTGAGTTTATTGAAATTATGAAGGTGTTCGGGGTTTACGTTGCTCAGTTATCTTGTCGAGTGGTGACGATCATTATTGGGTTAACAGTTTTCTTCAGAATTCGTGGATTGAATTTAACACCTACAATTTTGGCACGACTGTGTGGGTTCTTTACTGATACACATGATCGGGTGTTGTTTAGCATAAGACGTTAGATTTCCGTCTAAAGAAACTGATAAGACAATGGTCCGTAAAATTCTTCTTCGCAAAAAATGATTGGGGGCTCCGCGAGAAGCGAGGAAGGTTTCAACAATTGTCTGTTTCTCCTCATATTACCGAAGAGGGAATATTGCAGATGCTGGGATTTCCTGACATGAAGGAACTGTTATTTGAGATACAGTATATTACGAATTTGTGAGTGAGGAATCATTGTTCAAGGTCAAGCTTTCTTTCCACTCTGAATGGTCAACAACTGTAGCGTTAAAAAAATCTAAGAAGAGACCTTCCGAGCTAGCCCTTGCAGAATCCTCAAAGTAGCTCCCAACGAGCAATGAATGTTAAGTACTCCCTCAGAAATAAAAAAAAGTTGAAAACTCACGAGAGCCTGTGCGAGCCTGTGCTAAGCTGTGCTAAGCCCTTCAAGTATTCACGTTCCTGAAAATATATTTTCTCATGAATGTACTGGGCTCATAGAAGCTGAGAGTTTTGTAAGTTTCTCTCATTTTTTGCTCTATATAATTAGTTCATCTCTCTAACCCAGAATTCTCTTTTCCTCTAGGTGGAAAAGATAGTGGAAAACCAATAGGGGCTAGGACTTGCATTGAGAAACTGAAATTCTGAGTTCGTTAAGATCAAATATTTTCAGGGCGAGTACAAGCGTCGGTATGAATCTGAGGTCAAAAAAATTACATCTCTAGAATCACAGTTGACAGAGTGTAGGACAGAACTTTCAACAATGGCAACCTCCCTCTCGTTACAGCTTCAGGATCTGGAGAAAACTCGGGAGGGGTTGGTGGAAGCACGAGCTAGCCTTCGTGAAAGTAATAAGAGCGTGAAAGCCCTTAAGTCGACGGTGTTAGCCCAAGAAGAAGAGATCCGACTTTTGAGGTCCGTAAAAGATGTCGATGTTTCAGAAGTTAAGCGTAAAGCGGTCGAAAACTTCATGAAATCGCTTAAGTTCAAAACTATCATTCGAGGCCATGTTCAAGAATCTCGTGATCATGTACTTGATGTTGAGGTAAAGGAGCAACAAAAGTGGTTCACCGAAGAAAAATTCATCCGGGGTTTCTTAAAAGGGAGTCGAGCGGCACCACGTCTAACCGGGATTATTGTTGAGGGGCTCACTCCAAGCCAGGCTTCAGAGGACCCTTCCTCAGATTCTGATGGCGATGACATCGAGAGTGAACTAAATAAGGTGTTCTTCAATGACAATGAAGTGGCGGAGGAGAACGTTGACGTCAATTAGTATTTTACTCTTTCTTTTAACATTTATTGCGTATTTGCTTTTGTCATGTTGATCTAAATACACAGATACTGTTATTTTTTTTTCAAACTTTGTCAAAATGATGTTGTACTAGTGATGCATGACGATCAACTTATTTTGTTTGATGTTTGCCCCCCAAGTATCTTCATGTCACAGTGGTACAATATATTATTTAGAAGATCTAGTATGTGAGAATGTTACCGTGGAGATAAATCATTAACAACATTTTGCTTGACTGAGATTATTTTTGATGATGTTAATTTGTATAGGAGGAGCCAACGGAAGTCCACCGAGGACTTATCAACCCATCCGAGGTTGTTGTTAGAGCATTGCTCGCTTACGAACATGTGTAGAATGGGTCAGGTGTAGTCCACCAAGGATTGTTAACCTATCTAGGATTGTTTACCGGAGTAAAAACTCGATGATGTTAACCCATATGGAAGAGGTTAGATCAAATCTCACTGGGATTGATAGTGCTCTGACTAAGATACAACTGGAGTTGTGTATTTCTCGGGTCGAGAGCATGAACTGACTCGTGAATGAGTCATTACACTTTCTAAAAATATCATTTATGTATAGAAAAGTTAGTGAGTAATATTTGAGATACATTGATTATGTATGAGTTGCAATGTAATAACATATGTGGACTACATGACTTGGGTGTTATTGATAGTACTTGCGAAGATTTTCTGCATTCCAAGTTCGGGGTAAAATTTTTCCATCTGAATTCTTGAGCTTAAAGGTTCCAGACTTGATCATGACAGCCACAATATATGTGTCTTCCCAGAGATGTGATAATTAATTGCGTTGGCGACCATGGCCGGTGGCTTCAATACTACGCAAGATCAGGTCACCGACAGAGATAGGTCGAGGCTTGACTCTCCGGTTGAAGTGGCAAGCAACTCTTTGGGGGTAGGAAGCAGCTCTGAGGTGGGCCACATCACATATTTCTGAGAGAAGATCCAACTGTTATCAGAGCTTTTCTTCATTGCTTTTCAAGTCGAAAGTCTTGACTCGGGGTTTTGGAATTCCGATATCAACGGGAATGACAGCTTCGGTTCCGAAACATAGATTATATGGAGTTTCTCTAGTTGGAGTACGTGCAGTTGTGTGATAGGCCCAAAGGACATTGTGTAGCCCTTCTACCCATTGCCCCTAGCCTTCTCAAGTCGAGTTTTCAATCATTTGAGCACAATACGATTTGTCACATCTGTTTGTCCATTTGTTTTGGGGGGCACCCCAGTAGTGTGCACCAACTGAATGTGAAGATCCTTGCAGAATGATGTGAAAACTCTTCCAGTGAGTTGAGTCCCATTATTAGTGATAATCTTCGCAGAAAGCCCAAAGCGACAGATGATGTTTTTCCAGACAAACTGTTTTGCATTTGCCTCAGTGATCTTGGCAAGAGGCTCTGCTTCTACCCATTTGGTGAAGTAGTCGACAGCTAGGATGATGAATTTTCGTTGTCCAGTAGCTATCGGAAATGGCCCCATGATATCTACCCCCCATTGAGCAAAAGGCCAAGGATATAGAAAAGAAGTGAGTTCCACTGACGGTTCATGTGTAAGATTGGAGTGTAGTTGACAATTTTTGCATTTTTGCACGAACTCTAATGCATCTTGTTTGATCGTGGGCCAGTAGAAGCCTTGCCTCATTATTTTAAGAGCAAGTGCCCTGCCACCAAGATGCTCCCCACATATTCCAGAATGAACTTCTCGTAGAGCATAATCAGCTTCAGATGGAGGAAGACACTTGAGATACGGACCTACAAATGCCTTCTAATACAGTTCATCCCCTATAAAGATGAAGTTGGCATCCATGCGTCGGATGTGAATTGATGTAGTAACATCATCTGACAGTGTTCCGTCTTAGAGGAAAGAGATGATGGGATCCATCCAAGATGGCTCCCTTGGGTCATCTTTTGACAGTATCTCCCACGGGCCATGGATGCTAGGAAAATGTATCTCCTCAATATACCTTCTTTTATAGAGATCTCCAGTTGTTGAAGTCGCAAGCTTGGAGAGGGCGTCAGATCGGGTGTTATGCTCTCGAAGTATATGAATGAGCTGACATGTTTCAATTTGGGAGAGAAGTGTTTTTACCAGACTGAGATACTGCACTAGTTGTAAGTTATGAGTGTCAAATTCTCCTTCTACTTGAGACGCAATAAGTTGTGAATCAGTGTATATAATCATATTTTGTACTTCGCAGTTGATGGCAAGCTTTAATACGACGACAAACGCTTCATATTCAGCAACATTATTGGTGGCCGAGAATTTCAAATGAAGTCAGTACTCCAAAATGTCTTTCTTTAGGGAGATGACTAGTATTCTTGCACCAGCCCCTAAGTTTCCAGATGCTTCGTCTACATATAGTGTCCACTGAGGTGACTGTGGAAGAGAAGAGGGTGGTTCATTAGTGGTAGGCACCG